CAGCTCCGTCCACACTGTCCCCTGACACACTCACACTGCACCTTCCATCTCCGTCCACACTGTCCCCTGAGCACGGTCACATCCGCCCATGGATTCCAGATGGGATCCTTCCTGATGCCCACTCTGGGTCTCCTGCCTGGCCGCACCTCTCCTCGCCTCCCTGTACCCCCCACCCTAGGTGGAGGTGGTCGTGTGCTCTGCTCTGCTCCTTCAGGGCTGTGCAGGAGGGCTGCAGGCTGTCCCAGGTAAGAGGGAGTGCTCCCACTTCTCGCCAGGCCTTGCCGCACTCTGACTGCGTATGCCGGCCCTTTGGCCTCCCTGAGAAGCTGGCAGGTCACCTGGCCTGCTGCGGCCTCGACCTTGAGCTTTTGGGCAGCTCCCACTGTGTGCGAAGGCTGAGCACCTGACGTCCTGCTGAGGCTTGAATTCTGCATCAATTTGCTTCTCACGAAAAGAGGCGCCCACTCCCAGGCTTCAGCAGTGGCCAGTGTCTCTGGGCCCCCTGGAGCCCCAGGCCCTTCTGTCTGGTACCAAGGGTGGCACTGCCCACGGATGCTTGTAACAAAAACAGCAGCACCATGCCGTGGCCCACTGTGCATCTGTGAGGCCGTGTCTCGAGCGTGTGCGGGGAATCTCCCATCCGTGTGGGTGTGTTGACTGCCCCTGCGGACTCCGGGAAACAGCTGGCTGCCCCCGAGGCCGCCTCCTCTGGAGACTGATCCATGGGGAGTGCGCTTTCCATGCTCATTTCTTTCCCTTTTTTAGCCAGAGTCCGGCTCTGTCACCCAGGCTGGAGTGCAGTGGCACAATCTCAGCTTACTGTGACTTCCACCTCCTGGGTTCAAGCAGTTTTCCTGCCTCAGCCTCCTGAGTAGCTGGGACTACAAGAGCACAGCACCACACATGGCTGATTTTTCTATTTTTAGTAGACATGGGGTCTCACTCTGTTGGCCAGGCTGGTCTCCAACTCCTGACCTTGGGTGATCCACCCACCTCAGCCTCCCAAAGCGCTGGGATTATGGGGGTGATCCAGCCTCCTCGGCCTCCCAAAGCACTGGGATTATGGGGGCGATCCGGCCTCCTCGGCCTCCCAAAGCACTGGGATTATGGGGGTGATCCGGCCTCCTCGGCCTCCCAAAGCGCTGGGATTATGGGGGTGA